TCTTTTCACCTGGACGGTATGGACTCTCTAGGATTGAGAAAGGTGCGCTTGCGTTATTGTCTGGTCAAGGTTGGATGGGAGAAATCAGGGTTAAGCCGTCGTTGTTCCTGAACTCTGATGAACTCTGGGGTGGGATAGCCATCTGAAGCAACGATGCTTCAAAGACCCAATCGCCAAAGCTTTGTGGCAGTCTTGGTCTGCTGTCTGGCTGGAGAACGTCGATACTGAACCCCATCTATTCAATGCCGACACCCTCCGTCGACCCAGCTGATCCATGCCTTTCCAATATGATTCTCTTCAGCACTTTTTCAAGCATCTTTGCAGCTAGATGATATCAAGCTTGCGTGTAAACATAGGACAAAAAGCTTTACGATATCTTTCGAGTAACACCTCTGCATTGCCGCGTGATAAAGATCAATTCACTAACTGAGAAGTCTTTTCTTCACGCGTCTTGAGACTTGATTCGTGTGTAAACCAGATCAATGTGCTTTCTGCACTTCTTACTTTTTTTTATACACTACTTAATCTATCTACTTAAATTTTGTCAGGATAATCTAACCTATCATGTGATCCAAGAAGCTTTGTCACCTTTTGTGTAATCAACCAATCGCCAAGCAAGAAACCAACAAACAACAAGTCGATCAAACGTTTGAACCATCTCCTATCAAAATCAGCGAAATAGACTAACGTCGCCCAGTAGGTCTTTGTATATAGGCATATTGATATAGTATCGGGGTGTGTTTAATACATAGGGTGGGTGATGAAGTTCACTTGATCCGTTTATAGATCTTGGCTAAAAGGGCACGGAAGAGATCATTCTGAGGCCTAAAGTCTCGTCGATCTGGTTGATTAAGCCGTTCAACTTGGTATAAGTTTTTTTATCGTAAACATTTACAGTTTTTTCTATAAATCTTGTGTTCTTTATTATTACTAAAAAAATTGAAAGCAAGCCCACCTCATAAGTCTTCCGCTGTTCTGGAGTGCAATACCTCAGAGCGACGTTGACATTCCAAGAGCATTTATTATCGACGATGTCTCCGACCCTCTGACTGCCTTCGAGTCGCCACAGCAATCCCAGCAGTCGTCCTGAGCTTGGAAGTATTTGCCGAGCGGCAAGAAGATATCCATGGCTTGTCTATACAGATCGATCGTTGAGTTTCCGGTCGACCCTCGGTCGGAGGGCGAGGTGATTCCATGGAGGCTCAGCGCCAATGACACAGGCAAGTAGAACGAATAAAATGAGGTTTTGTAAACTAGAATGAGATGGTGCCTAGAGCAAAAATTCGGAGGAAAACGGTGAGGTGGAAGGTTTCGAGGCGTTTAAATGATGTTAATCAGACGACAAAAAGCACACATTAACTTACTTCTCAACCGAATCCGACAGGTCACCAAAAACTCAGGAGCGGTTCATAAACCGACGAGTTGACCGAATTCCGTGTGGGAGGTGGCTGGAAAAAAAATGCAAGAAGAACGTATCTAATTAATCTCAACGGCACTCAAAAGTTTTGTGAAGGGCTCAAGATAAGCAGATGGAGATGTACATCACGAACCAATTCGAGGATGGTAAGATAAGCCGGATGATTATGGAAGTGTTTCCTGAGTAATACGTAGATACAAGCTTCCAACTTCAACGAATCGTTGATCGTGATGTTTCCAACTTTGGGCTGAGATGTTGAGGGAAGAAAAGGGCAATCAAACTCATAAATTCTTTCTTCCGGCCTGAGATACTTACTTATAGCAAGGGATGCTTAACTGCTTTATCCCAACACGGCTTCCCTCTCCGCGTCAAGCTGTGGTACATGATATCATCGGCCCCGAGTAAGTACGCTTTGAGCTGACGGCCTTATACATTCATACTGGCCGAGCAATTCGCGTACTTACCCGTTCTGGATCGGCCGAAGGCGAAGTAGATCGAGTGTCGGTTTTCGAGTGGTTGATGTTGTTGGGAGGTTTGGCTCGGTCTGATTGGTTGAAGGCGAAGTTTACTCCCCAAAACAGGCCGTACCTCGCAAAGGCCTGTACATGCATAGTCAATCAGATATTTCAACCCCCCAAATCATACGACTACGCTCGGCTCACTAACTCAAAACTCATACCTCCGCCCAAAGTCAACTCCATCAAACTATCTCGACAAGGACTCTGTTCATCAATCCAGCAGTGAGTCAACTAAAAGTTCTTCTCAACCCCTTTATCACACCAATTGAGTGAAATTCTTATTGACCCATGAACATCTTTCAGACAACGAATCGCGAGGTGCCGAGCTATCCTCAATTCGGTGAGTACTCATTCGCCTAGCTCGGTCATCCCACAAGGTCACGCTGATCGAGTTAAGTGAGTAGTCTTTCAATTACTGACATATACATTCACGACAAGATATTAAAGTCGAGATCAAGTCATATTATCAGCTGCCTAGCAATATATTGACTTAGTTTTTATCTTGATTCTTGAAGGCCAAGTGATAGACGATCCATAAGGCAATCCTTCGGACCCGGACATCTCCACAAACGATCATCGGTCTCCGACTACACTAAGATTTGCCTTACGTTCACGAACGATTGAACCGACGGACGTTATTCTACCGGTACGTTTCAGTCAACACATTGCGTTCCAGCGTGAGATACGACGACTTTATTTCTTACCTATTGTCGCCATTTCACATTCCAATTACAATTGATCCAAAAAAAAAGGGAAATAACATCGCCTTTCTGCAATTAAGTGAAGGGACCAGAACGGGACAAATAAGTTTTGGAGTCCATTACTCAATCTGCCTTCAATGTATGTGGTCAATCAACTTATTTCATCCATTCATCTTCAGGTAACTCATTTTTAAGACTAAAGTGATTTGACATATATTTATCAAGCTTATTGATTATATTGGCCGACCACTTGATCCCATCTCTCAAAGTCAAGATCAACTCACACAAGCCTACATCGAAGCTACATCACCTGCATAGGGACCCATTTTCTGATTGAGTGTGATAGTAGAATACTTTTTGCGCCTTGAAGTTATGGGGATGTGTCGGCACGCTTACTTGATGGAAAGGAAAAGAAAGAACCGGTCGAAGAAACATGCGGATCAACGGACAAGCGAATTCGTCCTCACCATTGACAGTACAGGTAGGAAAATTAACGATCATCAAAAACGACAGGACAACTTACCGGTTTCGGCGCTGTCCTCACACACCACTGTTGTCTCACCTGAGTCAAATGGTAACCCTGAAGATAAAATTATATGGTCCTCAAAACGATATGTCCCACTTGAACTTTATCCTTGTATCGTTGGGGATGACCCGGATCGACCACCATCAAAAGAAGAAATCAAATCATGCAACACCATAGCCGCAACTTTCAAATACTTTGACCACGGAAAGGTTGTTATACACGACAAAGTGGATAAAGCAAAAATAATTGCCGTTATCGAATTCATTCCATTCGATGGTGCTTCTCAAGTCGAACTAGAAGAAATCGGCAAATTCACAAACTTTTTACACTCTGCCAAACGCTTTGTCAATGCCGTCGGCTCTGAGGCTCGTTCCTGGGGAGGCAAAATGTTCGCCATCGGTTGGCGAAAGGCAATGGTTGCATTCCAACTTTTAGGGCTCTACCGGAACAAAGCCGCTATTACCAGACATCCGGAAGATTACCGTCATCTTATGCAGAACTCGCCTCAAGTTTCAAGCATCCTTGGTAGAATGTTCCGACGGCTCGCTAATGTCGCTTTTTTCCGAAAATCAACAGCTGATGAACGAATACTCAATTTCCATCTATTGGTCATCCGGGATTTCGACATGCCAATTGGGGATGACGATTGTGCCCCAACCTCACTTTACTGGCTGGAGGATTCTTTAACCCGCCCCACTGCGACACTCAAGATTTGTCGGAGTTTGCTTTTGGGATATTCCTCCCTGTCAATAAGCATGACTTGTCACCCGCAACCGGTCCCACTCAGTCAAACTCATCGGCTGGAGCATTTGTCTTCCCAGATTACAGATGTGGCATTGACTTTGCAAAAGCTAACGGAATCGTCAAACTCGTTTGGAGGGCACGTGAGGCTCGACATTGTACCTTATTTTCAGATGTCGATTCACCTTACGAGCGGCTAGGAATGTCAATTCAAATCAATAAAAAGACTGCCACAACTTCCCAGGACACCAAAAGCGGTGCAATTTTCAATCGGCCTGCATACAAGAATATACCAAAGGAGAAACTCTACATAGGAAACCTCCAAACTTACGTTGATGGAACCCACTAGAACTACCCTGAACATTAACCGCATCGGATCCCATCATTGCATTAAAATTCTATTGTGAGGATAGGTGGTCGGTAACTATCATCAACAACTTTTTTTTGCTTACCCTTCCCCTTCAAAATGTGTTTTGCATGATTACTTTGAACTTTATGTTGAATACTCGTCACCATTTGTCTTGGTTATTTTGTCAATATGACTCCTGAATCAGAATTTGGGTTTTTTAGAATTTCCAATTGTTATGATGCCTTGCTGGATGTAGAATGCCTCGTCTCAACCATTCATCATGTCAGAATAATCCTCAAGCAATAATCTTGCACGAGGCACGGTTGGCTTTCATCCTGTTTTCTTTCGACGCGAGACTTGACACGAACTTTGGATGAATCTTATCTCTAACGGAATAAACCTCATCATCAGAATGGATAAATCCTGCTAGAACAGTTGGAAAGGCGAAGCCTACGTGCCGTTCATTAAGTTATTTAGGTTGACCACGTTTGGTTGACTCAAACCAAACCAGTTCTTTATTTGACATTATGTGCAAAGTTCACCAAATAGTTAATCAATCCTTAGGACCTGACTTGGCCTAAGATGCTTATCACTAACATTGATCACCCTTAAAATGCAAACTGCTGCAAAGGCAACGCCTATCTCTCCAGTCCATTAAGTTATTTACTTTGACCACGTTTGTTTGACTCCAACTGAACCAGTTCTTTATTTTACATTTCGCTCCAGGTTGACCAAGTCAGTTGATCAAACATGAGGAACCGACTTGGCCAAACAGGGTTATCAAAAGCATTTTTCAGACTTAAAATAAGCTTATCAGTCATTCACAATCGCTTCATCTGACCCCACAACCCCGATTTCAAAACACAGAACAAATATACAAATTCGAAACTTTATTTTTGGTAACACATCAAAGGTGTCAGTGATGACCAATTATATTAACTCGACTGCCTTAATGTCTGGAGAAAAGAAGCCTTATAAATTAGCACCTACCCTCGAAGGGATAAGTCAGCTAACGTTTGGTGGAACTTGCCAGTTGGAACAAAAGGTAAGGTGTTTTATTAATTCGATTTTCCAACACTGACACCATGTTCCACATTGCAGTTTGAAGCTTTCGATCTAGATCTGGGCCTTTGCAACATATACAAAATCCTACTTCCATTAGAACTACACATTGATCGTGGTCTTGAGCCTCTATTTATATCAAACGACAAAATAATTGCCACATTAC